AAAGCAATAGAAGACAAAAAAGAAGAGTAGTTGGAACCAGATCATGCAGAGCCTGAAATAACAGGCCAAATGGTCTGTACAGTTTGCTGAAGTATAGAAATGAAAGAAGGATCAAAAATCGAAAGAAAGATGGGACAACGATAATAGATGATGGAGAGATGACAGAACAGCTTTTATTTTGCTTTTGTTTACTTGGCCAAGCAGAACAATTGTTACACTGGAAAGAAAAGAACAGAAACGGCTAGTAGAGACTGGGTAGCCAATATAAGTAGAAAGATAGTAAAAAAGTTTATTTCTACCTGTGATGAGTTCATCACCAACCCAAACTGAACTTCATCCTAGGCTACTAAAAGAATAGTCTAATGTAATTTCTGAGAAATCCTTTAAAGATCATAGGAAAATAAAAGAAGGAATGTAGTACTAGAGAAGATGAATATCCAATTTTTTTTAAAGGAAAAAGAACAGGACTGTCAAACTATATCAATTAACTAATCCAAAAGGATTTAGTAAACGATTACTATGTTCTAGGCTCTATGCTAAGTTCTGGTGATACAAAGAAAGGTAAAAATAGCCCTTAGCCTCAAGAAATTTACAGACACCAAAGTGATCAAAGAAAGAGAAAAAGGAACCATAAGTTAAAAACATATATCCATAGTAGTTATTTTATATCAAAGAATTGGAAACTAAGGGGTGTCCATCACTGGTGGAGGAGGGAGAGAATAACCAAACAAACTATGATATATGAATATAATAGAGTATTATCCTCTCATTGATATGACAGAAGGGATGCTTTCAGAGAAGCCTAGGAATTTTTATACGAACTGATGTAGAGAAAAGTGAATAGAATCAGAACAATTTGTATAATAATAATAACATTTAAACAACTTTGAATGACTTAAGAACTCCAGTCAATGTAAAGAATAGTCACAACTCCATTAGACAATGATTCATGATTCTACTTCCTGATAGACAGGTGATAGAGTCAAGGTACACAATGCAACATGTATTTTTAGACATGGCCATTTGTTTGGCTCAACTGTATATTTGCATATTTGTTATAAGTTTTGTCTTTTTTCCCCCAACAGCGAGGCAGTGGGGTTGGAAGAAAAAAGAGGGAGGGAAAATAAATATCCGTTGAAAGATAAAAAAAAGAAAAGGCTCTTTATTTAATAAGAACTGTTGTTTTTGGATGCTAGTCTCATGGTTTCCTGATACCTCTACCTTCCTTTACAAAGCTCCTCCTGAGATTAATGCAACATTCAGAGGCAGTTTCTGCTTTGAATTGCTCACCCTGCCCTACCTCCTCAATTATTACATTCTCCATGGGTGCTGTCCAACTACTTAGAAGAAAACAGCCTAATGTAGCTAGGACTGTAAGAGGTAGGAGCACAAGGCATTGCAGAATTTGCCAGAAATAATTGCCTACTGTGATTTTACCTGTTGTAATATGAAATCTAAGTTGCTGCCTAAAGGAGAATAGGAGTGTCACAGTCAAGTCTCCTAGGTCTTTGATCATCTAACCTTGATTTCCCTGAGGTCACTAATGATAGAAGTCTTAATAAACTTTTATCTTTCATGGGCTAGGAAGAGGGGAGTTGGAAGAAAAATAACAAGCATGTAGCAAATTTTTTAAAAAAACTTTTCTCCTAGAATTTTGGGATTCTCTTTTTATAACTTGAATTCCAGGAAGCTTTTAAACAATGACAATCAGAAGTCGCAGAGAAAGGTTAGAAAAATAAAAACACCTTTGTTTAGATAGCAATGATATGTGGGGATGTTCTGTTGTTTTTGTTGTTGTTTTCTCCTTAGGATTCATTCTGCTACATAATGGACATTTCTGAAGAATGTCAGAACTTTCTGTGAAGTGGTCCCTCTGTGACCCTGGGGCTCAGGGCTCCAGGGACCAAAGTCAAAGCCAAAGATAGGTATGGGGAGAGGTATCTGGTAGCTCACCAACTATGGAAATGGTGATGAAATGGAAAAAAGAACATTTTGTCAGGCAGAACATGAGGTCTGTAGCTCTCCTACGGGGAAAGAGTTGATATAATAAGTGTAGTTTTTAAAAGATTTACTTTGGCGGAGAAGCAAGAATTTTGGGGGGAGTGGGGAAGGTTCAGACCTGTGATTTCCTGAGCTTTGAGAACTCTCAGTGAAGAAATATTCAAGCAACAAGATGCATAAGCAGATTTTCTACAATCTCTAGTCTTAGAGAGTTAGGGTCCCACATCCCATATAGCATTCATCAGAGGTGGCAGTGGAATACGGGCCTTGCTGACTTTGAGACCAGCTTTCTATCCACCATGCCAAGCTACTTCCTAAAGAGAGCTCTCTTGGTGGAGGAGAAAGGTCACAGGGCAAGGACTAATAAAACCTAGAAGCTATTCTCAGATTTGCTAATTTACCAGCTACATGATTTGGAGCAAGTCACTTTGCTTCTCTGGTCCTCAGTTTCCTTATCTGTAAAATGAAGGAGTTGAACTAGAAGATCCTACAAGTCCCTTCCAGATCTATAATCCTATGATCTCCATGTAAGTGACACCACAATAAAACAAGGCTTTCCTATATTATTTAGCAGAGTTTGCTTTATAGCAGGGAAGCAGACAAGAAACAACAAAAACTTAACAGTAAATGTCCTCAGCTAACCAGATTCTAGTCTCCAGTATTCTGCACTTTTCTTTTGTCATTGCTATTGCTGTCAAGCTTGTTCCTTTTGCATTTTTATTCTTCAGAATTTTTTGCTATCAGAGAATTTGAAAATCTTTTCTTTTTCCATCAGAATACATTACATTTTCCACCTAAAACCAAGACCAAGTTTCTAGCAGATGATGAAGTCTGGGGAAAAGAATTTAAAATATGTGTCTAGAGAGTTTTAATATCTAAAAGAACTGCTTTATAAAAGTTATTTTGGTAAGTAGTACAATTTTCTTCTCCATCTGGATTTGGAATCCAACTTCTTTCAGCTCCTCCTGGCTTATAAATTTTATTTTCTAACTGGAAGATGAAGGGCCAGGCTGAAAGCACTAAAATAAGCACAGACAGCAATATGTGTTCAGTGAATTATTAGTAAAAACAGATGATGATGATGATGATGAAAATATATTAAAACAGTTAGGATATCATGAAAGATTACATTTATTTCATCCCTGGTAAAAGTATTAAAGATATAAAGCAGAGGTGGGGAATGGGGGAAAGAAATTAATTGTAAAAATTATCTAGATTTGGGGTCAGTTACATCTAATATGCAAAAGTCACCAAGATTGGTGCCAGTTATGTCTAGTTTGCAAGCACCATTGTTTTCATGTAACTTTTATTTTAAATGAGCAACTGATCAAATTCTCTCTCTCTCTTTCACATGCAGAAACACACATACTTAAAACTCTTGTTCTTGCATCATAATGTACAAAATAGTATCGTATTAGTGATGTTTTATGACCTAAATCAAAGAATGACATTTTAAAACTACCTACAGATTAATCTGACATGGTTCACTCTATTCTAGGAACAAAAAACAATCACTACACTTTTTATTTTCAATTCTACTGCTTCATGTCCTAATACTTCTCCCAAATGTTTGTTATTTCAGCAGCATCTCTTATGTGTTAGAAAGCATTTGTCATCCTGCTGTGATTGCTAACATGGTGCTTAGAGCACTGGAGCAGGGAAAAATGCGGAAGAAAAAAGTGGGTAAGCATGTTCCAGCTGATGAATATGTCAGCTAGGAAATGTAATCACAACAATTAATGACATGGTAATAACCATTTCTCATACAGTGTTACAAACACCTAAAAAATTGTTTTCCTAGGGAAAAAAAGCAATTTATAAGAAAGGAAAAATTAACAAATATGTTCTGGATTAAATAAATATAAATCATGCTACAGACATTCAGCAGGTAAGATTTATTAGGCCTACTATGTACCCCTATTATGGGAATATGAAGACAAAAATAAAACAATCCCTGACCTCAAGGAGCTAACATTCTAAGTTAAAAGAACACATATACAGAAAATTAAATACAATATGTATGTATATATATATATATGTATACATACATACATACATATATATATATATATACATATATATATATATATATATATATATATATATATATATATATATACACACATTTTAGAGCAAAGTAAGTTCTTGGGGAAAGGCACTAGCATCTACTGAGGGGTCAAGGCAGGCTTCCTGTTGTTGGTGGCACCTAGGTAAGCTACTAATTCTGAAGCTAGCTATTCTAAGAGGGAGAAGTGAGGTGTAAGTGCATTCCAGGTATGGGCAACAGCCAATGCAAAGGCATGCAGACTATCACATGCAGGAAATAGCACAGTAGGTCAGTTTCACTGGAAGTATGTGAAAGAGAACAATGTACAATGAGCATGGAAAGGTAGGCTGTGACCAGATGGCCTTTAAAAGTCAGATAGAAGAGTTTGTACTTGAGGTAAAAAGGAAAGTCAGGAAATTCTTTGGCCAAGGAGTGACATAGTCAGACCTCGGCTTTGGAAATACCAATTTGAAAACTAGGAGGAGGAGAGACCTAGAGAAGGGAGAGACTGTGTGCAGGGAGACCAGTGAAGAAGCAACTGCAGTAAACGCAGAAGGAGATGACAGTCTGAACTAGGGTGATGGCACGTGAACAGAGAGCAGCAGAAGTTTGTGATAAACACAGCAGAGGTTGAGTCAATGAGACTTAGTAACTAATTGGATGTGAAGGGTAAAAAAAATGAAGGAATTAAGGATGATTTTGAGGTTGTAAACCTAGGTGACTGGCCAAGATCATGGTGTCTTCAGCAGAAATAGGGACATTAAGAGCATGAAGAATGTGAGGGGAGGGAGGAGACGATGAGTTCTGGTCTGCACATGATGAATTTGTGATGCCCACAGGACATTCCCTTGAAGAGGTCACAATTGATATACAATTGATTATAGAGAGTTGACCCTGGCAACAAAAAATATTCATAAAAATTTTGAATTTTTTCAAATTCTGCCATTCTTACCTGCGGTATTACACCAAATGCCTTTCTCCACTGCTGCAAGGGTACTGAATCCCAAGATACACCATCAATCTGTATGTCTCCTTTTGTGTTCAGTAATCTTAAAAAAGCTGCTAACAAGGTGCTTTTTCCAGAACCAGTTCTTCCCAAGAGGCCCACCTATAAAATAAAAGAGGTAGGGAGTTAGAAGTTGGTTTTAAATAACTCCTGTTATTTATAAGCATCAACAAATGGAATGTGATGTTGTACTACAAATCTCATAGAAAAATATTGCCACCATTACAAGAGTCCACTTGTCGAGTTCTTTTTACAGTCTAAAGGATAGATTGGTATTGATTTCTGTATATCTTCTTGCTCATTCCTCAACTGTGAACAGTGCTTGTATTGAAAAGGATGACTGATATCCAATGATCATGAAGCAGAGGCTAACTGGTCTGCATGGGTATGGAACCTAAAACCTTGATCTTAGTAGCATTACTGAGTTAACTGTTGCTATACAACAACTTTTTCAAATAACCAAAGTGATATAACCTTGAAATCACTGAACCAAGAAAAAAATACATATTGTTAAGGAGAAGCAAAAAGAGTGTTATAGTCCACTTTATTGAATGAGCCTATGCAAGCATTTTTAACAGACTAGGGTTTCTTGGTCTAACAAGATCAACTATTACATTTCAAGGGATGATTCAATTCAACAAATGCTTTAAAGTACTTACTACTACATGCAAAGGACTGGGGACACAAGGACAAAGCAAAAAGTAAAACTATGTATGTCCTCAGAAAGCTTCCATTCTTCTTGGGGAATCAATATCTATACATATAAGTACAACATACATAGTTATATACATACACATTGTATATGCAACAATGTACATCCCACTACATGTGAAGTAGTGGGGATATAAGAACAAAAACTGTCCCTTCTCCCGAAGAGTTTTTGTTCTACTGAGTGAAACAACATGCATACAAATAAGTACAACATATATACTAAGAAAGTATGTGTGTGTTTGTGTGGTATATACTACTGTACATACGTGTGCTATGTATACTATTGTGTGTGTTGTATATGTGTGTGTGCAGTATATACTACTCTATATACAACAATATATATGCTACACTATATACAACAGTATATATGCATATATACTACTACATGTGTACTGGGGAGATAAAAGGAAAAAATACATTCTTCCTGCCCTCAAAGTGTTTTCATTCTACCAGAGGAAGCAACATTACTTGTAAGTACAGCACACACACAAAATAATTTCAAAAGGCAGAGAGTGCTAACATTGCAGGGATCAGAAGTGGCCTAAGGTAGAAGGGGCCACCTAAGCTGTGCTCTAAAAGAAGCTAAGGATTCAGGGAGAATGATAACATTGCCTTTCCAGCTCTCATAATGGCTGTATAATGTCCTTTTCAGTGCATTGTCAGTTATTCCCTGAAATGATCAGACCAACTAAACTTTTTTTTTTCTGTTTTCCTGCTGTCCTAACAACCCAAGCAATTCCATCAATAACCAACATGAGCTACATGGTCAACTATACAGACTAATGCTTCAACTGGACTAATAATGCTTCGATCACCAGATCATGGTAGATTCCACTTATATTACATTCTTTCAGTCAATATGTTCACAGCTCTGTACAATTAACCTGGATCTTCTCTTTACAGATGAGGAAGCCCCAAATATCATAGACAGAAGTGATCTCTCAAATCAAGATCTGTTGGTTAAGGAGGGATTGGAACTTAGCATGCCACAATCCTAACCTCATATTTTAATCTATCGAGGACAAAGCACCACGTTCTCTTTTTGTCAGCCACAAATGGTAGCATCTTCAGAAGTCACACCAAAATGCTGTCACAGTCAGAGCTCGGTCTTTCCCTGCTCTTCTTAGGAAGAGGCAGGGATGAGAGAATAGCGTGAGTGCATAAGCACTACACATCATACCTTTCCTGAGCCCCTCTTAAACTACTGGGATTTAACTTTGTTGTTATCGTTCAGTCATTTCAGACTCCTTCTGACCCCATTTGGGGTTTTCTTGGCAAAGATAATGGAATGGTTTGCCATTTCCTTCTCCAGCTCACCTTACAGATGAGGAAACTGAGGCAAACAGGGTTAAGTGATTTGCCCAGAGTAACACAGCTAGGAAGTGTCTCAGGCCAGACTTGAACTTAGGAAGATGAGCCTTCCCAACTCCAGGCCTGCAACCCTATCCACTGCACCATCTAGCTGCCCTACTTTAACTACCGTGCTGTTTATTCTCTTTATATTTATTCTCCATGTTCTTCAGTCCTTGTCTCTTCTATTAGAATGTAAACTCTCTGCAAGTAGAGACTGTTTCATTCATTGTATTCACATCCCTAGCACCTAACACAGTGGCTGGCACACAGTAGGTGCTTAAGGAAAGTCTGCTGATTGATTTCAAAGCACTGCATTTAAGATGTTCTGTCTTCTCTTCCCTACTCATTGTCTGATAATGCATTAAGATCAAACAATTTTCTGGGAATAAAAAACTGCATTTGGTCATGCCTAACCAAGACTTCTTGTTTCTTATATAATTAGCCTGTAAAATCTCTCTTCTGGGATTTCCTTTTTTTAAGCTGCACACAGATTGGGTACAAAAATGTCAGATCACTTGATGGCAAGTTATCTTTTGATATATGAACATCCCAGGTGAGTGTTTTCTAATATTCTCACTATGATAATACTTTCTTCACCCTATTAACTTACATTCACAACCTTTTTCACAGTTAGAAGAGGCAGCATGGTATAATACATAAAGCGCTGGATTTGGTATGAAGAAAGCCCAAGTTGAAAACCTGCCTTTGAAATTTACTGCCCATGTGGCCATGGTCAAGTTGGTTCATCTCTATTCTCCTCAATTTACTCATCAGTAAAATGAGGATAAGGAGACCACTAAAATATACTCATGACAGTTGGACATGACTGAAATGACTGAACGACAATAATTTCCCAGATAAAGAAACTATGGCTCAAGCCGTAGGCCTGGGACTTGAATCCAGTTTTATTTTCAAATCAATAGCTCTTTTTAATAAAATTTTGCCTACTTTCTAATAATTTTGATAGAGAAATCAAAGTTTTTTTGGAGCTCTAAATAGACTTGGATTTGGCGCCATTTTGAAAGATACCATAAGTAAATGAGTTTCAACACATTCCTTCCAGTTTACTTTTTTAATTTCATTGTACTTGACAACTATTTTTCAGTCTTTTATCCTTTCCAGGAGATGATGCCACAATGAGAGAAAATAAGACTCCTCATAGTAGGAAAAAATGAGTCTTCTGCATATTATGCTCAGCTTTTTCTACAGTTTGGACAGAAAAATGTAGTAGTTCTAGGGAATACTGCCCAAACAGGTGTAAAACATTCATTTCAGCTACATCACCCTTTTCTTTAACAAAGACAGATTACCTAGGTATTCTTTGCAAATCAAGTGGCATTTAAATGTTCATGCTGCTATAATCTGAACACCTGAGCTAGAGATCTATTATTTTTGGCATCACATCCAGTATTCTTCTATCCTCTGACTAGTCTGCCCAGGGGGGAAAAAATCTATATTTGTGAGCACCTTCCCCTTTGTACATGGAGAAGTACAAATGAAGAAGGTAGCCAAGTTCACCCAAAGGAATGAGACTTGGAGAACTATTAAGTGACTATTTAATTCACTTGTCTGTACACCCAGTGGTGATATTCATCATTTCCAGAAGGTCAGTATTTGATTTTCCATTCAAAACCAGTCCCACAATTAAGTTTAAGTTTAGAGTTTAAATTTATTCTTTAATTTTTCAAACTATACTGTTAGAAGAAAAGGAACAGAGAAAAAAAAAATTCTGGTTTGGAGAAGGCAACTTGGATATGATAATTGATCATTTCTGTTGTTTTTCCTTTAATAAGAAACCTTGGCACCAGAAAGAGAAACATACTCATCAGTTAAGATTTGGTGAGATTTAGACTTTGCATAATTAATACAATGAAATCATCATGAATTAGTGGTCCTATGTACTATTGACACTATTCACGGACAAAGTGATATAGGTAGTATGTCCACAACCTTAAAGGGGCAGTTTTTATCTAGTGTAAATATTATAAACCTATTCTAAGATGATCAAATAAACTATAATTTTCCTTATGCATTTATCTCTTTAATCTCTACCAACATGCCAAAGTTCACTGAAATCCATTAAAAATTACATAAGGGTTCTCCCTTAAAACCCTGTTTCCCAAGTCTGGATTTTATTGGTGTGAGAATACAAGGGTATATTCCTGATAAGGAAATTCTTAGAAATGGAGATGGGCAGCTCTGATATAATTTACAATTCTAGAGAGATGCCTGGGACATTGAAGGGTTAAGTGCTGGGCCCATAGCCAGACAGCTATTGTATATAAGAGGAAGGTCTTAGTCCTGTTCTTCTAGTGTTAGAGGCTAGCTCTTCTATCCACTTTTTATAAGATTCCCATTTTAAAATGTTGTTTCAAGAAGAAGGACTAAACCATTTCTGTACAGACCCATGATTTTACAGGTGTAGGGAAATCCCAGTGAGAGGACTCCCTCTACCAACGCAGACCAACTCCTGTTCTATAACTTAAAATCTTAGTTGTCTGATTAACCTTAAAATGTTAAATGTAAAACCTCCCTAAAGTTACACACACACACACACACACACACACACACACACACACACACACACTATAGGTTTACTAACATGATATTAAGTATGACTCAGAAAACATGCAAGACTAAGAATAAAAATGTTCCTTAATCCTGCAGCATGAATTCTTATTCTTAAATTGCCAAAATTGAATGGGAAAATCAAGATTCTGTCCTTTTGCTTGTTAGGTCACAAAAGCCTGTTTCATATTTGCTTGTGAGGGAAAGGGAAGGGAGATGAGCAATTTTGAAACAGAGATGGGAAGTGATGGAGGTTTGGCAGGGAAAGGGAAAAAAATAAAATGAAGAGATCAGCCAAGGCTTCCTATCTTCACTTATGTAAATCCATTTGTTATTACAATCCATAATCTGTTGACAGTCATCTTGGAAACCATCCAAGGTGTCAGAGAAGAGAAAGATACTTTCACATGCCTGAAAAGTCCTACGTATAAGACAAGTCAAAACAATGAACTATCCTTTCAACAGGAAGCTGCTGAATTCCCAAATATCAAAGGTGAGGCATAAATACAATCATTCATCTTTTATACTCCTAGAACCAATGTATGACCTGCATCTTTCCTAAAATATTGGTCTTCACTGAGGCTCTCCCTGCCTAGAATGGCAACCTGGTACTATATCTGAGGCCTAGGACTTGAATTTTGGCTCTGTTGTTTACTGTGCCTGATTTTGAGCAAGGCTTTAACCCTGGGTCTCACTTTCCTCATCTATGAAAGGAGAGGGAAGGAGAGTAGACTAAATTATTCTTAAAATCCCTTTGAACTGTAAATCCTATGATGGCATGATATAAACCCCAATCATTTTTGGAAGTAAACAATGACTCTAAAGGATTGTAATGGGAGAACTTGCAACTTATGAAGCAACAGTGATTCTATCTTTATTAAACTGACATGTAAGAAAAACTATTAAAACCAAACTCTAAAGCTTTCACTAAGATGTCCATTTGAAAACATATCTTGCTATAGAATAATATTCTTAATGAAAAGAGGGGTTGACAATATCCAAGAAAAAATAATTATATCTAAATTATAATTATCTGATCTACAAGCCAACATCTTCTTGACCTACTAGTCTCTCTGGGTTTTAAGGGCACTGCCCCCTCTTGGTTCTCCTCCTACTTATCCAAGTACTACCTTCTCCAGTCTCTTTTGTAGGATTATAATTCATATCTTAACTATTAACTTTAGATGTATCTTAAGGTTCTATCCTCAGCCTACATCTCTTCTCTCTCTGTATTCTCTCTTAGTTAATTCATCAATTCCTATGGGCTCAATTATCATCTCTTTGAAGGTAACCAGGGCAGCTAGGGGATGCAGTGCTTGGAATGCTGAGCCTAAAGTCTGGAGTTCAAATCTGGTCTCAGACACTAACTAGCTATGCAACCCTGGGTAAGCCACTTAATAGTGTTTGCCTCAGTTTCCTCATCTGTAAAATGAGCTGGAATAGGAAATGGCAAACCACTCCAGTACATTTGCCAACAAAAGTCCAAATAGTGTCACAAAGAGTCGGATGAGACTGAAACCACCGAACAACAACAAAATGAAGATCGCCCTCTAGCTCTATATAGCTAACCCCAGTTTCTCTTCTTAGCCCCAGACCTCTTTATTCTTCCTCTAGACCACAACATACCCACTCAATCGCCAAGTTGCATGGATCTTACCTCTTCATCTGTCCACTTCTTTCCTCACAGGACCATTGCCCTAGTTAAGGATTCTCTATATGGGTATCCATTTCCTTTGGACAATTAAGAAAGTCAAATAGTTGATTTCCTTGCCTCAAGTCTTTGCCTTTTCCATTTCATCCTTCACACTCTGACCAAGGGATAATGCTAAAGCCCAAGTATGACAATGTCACTCTCCTGCTCAATAAACTCAAGTGACCCTCTATTGTCTCTAATATAAAATACAGACTCTTCTGTATAGTTCCAACCTACTTTTCCAATTTTATTATACATTACTCCCCTTTGGGCACTCTTCAGTTCAACCAAATGTTGACCTCTTATGGTTCTTCACACTTGCTATTCTACCTCCTATCTCCATGCCACAACCCAGGCTGTCCCTCATGTCTAGAATGGATTTCCTTCTCAACTTTGCTTGTTAGAAACCCTAGTTTCCTTGAAAGCTCAGCTCAAATGCCACCTTTGACATGAGGTCTTTCCTGATCCACTCAGCTATTAGTTTGTCTCCACCTCCAAAATTACCTTATGTTGTCTATGCTGTGTACATACCTATTTTCCATATGCATGTTGTCTCTCCCCATAGAATATGCCTTGTCAAGGGCAGGGACATTTTTATCTTTGTTTCTCCAGTGCCTAGCTCATGATTGCGAACTCTGGAGCAAGTCAAGTTCCTGACTCTTCCCCTAAAGCCATTTTTAGTGCAGATTCACAAGGCTTTGTAGTTCAACTTCTATCTTCCTTTCTAGGAGATTATCTGTGTTAAATCACATTCATCAAGTTTCCTAAAATTCCAGGGCAAAAGGCAATGATAACACTTTCTTTTTTTTCATTCAATAACATCTCAACAGCTCTGACAACTATCCTGAAAGAAATGCTACAGGCATCATTTTACAAAGAGGAAACTAAAGCACTGTGAGAAGTGAGGTAATCCAGTTTTCACACCAAAATGTTCCACTGGTAGTGCAGCAGTCATTTTAACAACAAATGGACTATACCATATACATGTGATGTTAACACATCACTGACATGATGTTAAGAGACCTAGGGGAAAGTTTCCAGCACATGGGCTGTGTGTGTGTATGGAGGTGTCTTAAGAGGATTAGGTAGAAATTTCACAAGATGAGAAGGTATAGACAGGTTGGTATGTGTATTATTGGAAATAGTGCCTACTCCAATGAGATCTTAGATCCACCGATGCATAAGACTCAATGACATTAAGTTTTGTTGTTATTGTTAAAATTCTGAGATTCTGGAGTAGGCTATTTTAAGGCATAACATCATTCCATTTTGAAGATCTGGCAAAATTGCCCCTTCAAGAAATAATCAGTGTGTTTATTAAGTATTCTACTAGGCATGAAGCAGGGCATAGCAATGAATTATAACATGTTTCTTTGTGATAGGCAATTTCTGATTATACTTTTAATAGTTCTACATATGTTATATGATGTTAATAGCATTATTTTTTTTCAAAGTTGGGGGAGAAACACCCAAAAGGGAGATAGTATAGGTTTGGCAGGTTTTAAGTTAGACAGTTTCCAGAAAGAAATACTTAGATCACAGATTTAGAGTTGAAAGAGACCTTAGAAGTCAATGACTTCAACTTCTTATTTTACAGTTAAGGAAACTGAGTCATAGAGTAATTAAATGGTTTTCCAAAGACTACATCACTAGTGAGTGTCTGACGAAGGATTTGAGCCAAGGCATTCTTGTCTTCATGTCCAGCATTCTATCTACTACATATCATACTCCCTCTGAGATAGGGTGGGGATGCCCTTTAAAGTCCTTTCCAGTTCAAAATTTACGACTTTATCAAGGCAACAGACATTTACTTTCTCTCATCTGAGCTAGAAATTCTAGATGTTGCTAATCGGTTACATATCATTATGATAGTGGTTTATTTAGAAATTTCATTGCTCAATAACTGATAAAATAGTAATGAATTATGAGATGACTCCTGCACTGAAGCTCTGTTGTTATGCTTCACTGTAGCACAGGGACAATCCTGGGCTCACTAAAGCTATGTTAATAGAGTGTGAATTATGGAAATTTCTACCTAGTTAAAAAGGCTTCAGGTATGAACCTGGTGTTGTTGTTCATTTGTTTCAGTCATGTTCAACTCTTCTTGAGCAGATTTGGGGTTTTCTTGACAAAGATACTAGAGTGGTTTACCCTTTCCTTCTTCAGCTCATTTTACAGATGAAGTAACTGAGGCAAACAGGGTTAAGTGACTTGCCCAAGATCAGAGAGCTAGTAAGTATCTGAGGTCAGATTTGAGCTCATTGAACTTCCAGAATTCAGGCTTGGCACTCTATCTACTGAACACCTAGCAGCCCATGGACCTAGTAATGGATTGTGTAGATGTGTTATCAGAGGATTAGCAGAAAGGTTTACCATGAAAGGGATACCTTTTAAGTGGTGAATGTTTTCACGAGGAAGGGATGTTGCTTACGTCAGTGGACCCAATGATGAAACTTTGAATCTTTTGACTATTGAAATATAAAATTATTCATTTAATACATAGCTTCAAATATACTAGAGTTTTCATGTCCTATGTAACATTACTATATAGAATAAATATTAGATTTTTTTTTTGTAGGGAAGAAAGAGTATCTGGGCCTCTATTTTCACTGGTATAAGTAGCTTCCCAGAGAGCAAACTCCATCTCCCCATGCAGATTGCCAATTGCTCTTCAGTGTATACCTTTACAGAATAGCCTGGAGCATTGAAAGGTTGAGTGACTTGCTCAGGGTCACATTGCCAATAAAGGTCAGTGGAGGGACTTGAACACAGATCTTCCTGACTCCAAAGTCATCTCTTTATTTACTAAGTTATGTTGCCTAACCATAGCATAGCCCATTTAATCTATTAGTCTGGTGTTAGTCCTCTGCTTCAACAGTTGTGTTACAAAGAGGTTGGGTACCATTTATACTGCCATCAGCCATTCTAAATTAAAGTTGATGACAGGATAAATAAAATAAAAAATGTTTTAAGTCTCACCCTTTGCCCAGAACTTATTGAGAAGGAAATGTTCTCTAATACGGCATTCCCACCATCTCCATATTTGGCTGTGAGGTCTTTGACAGTCATCTGACCTCCAGAGGGCCAGTTGTTCTCTTTCTTTACATGCTCATTCTCGATGATCAGAACTTGTGAAAGCTGATTTTTCTTCGATTTAGTTGGTTTGGTAGGCAGGGATTCTTCACTTGGCATATCAATGAATTTAAATACTCTGCTCACAGACCGCATCTGAAAACCAAAATAAACAATATTTGTATTTGGAGGTGGGCAGGTTTAAGATCCATACCAAAAGCAATAAAGAGTATAATTGTTTCCTAAAACAAAGTTCCTGCCATCAGAAGTAGTGTCAGCTGATCACAGGCACCTAATCCCAGGTACAATCATTCAGGATTTTGTCTGAGTGTTTTCAGTGATTTAACAGGAAATAGTTGGCTGTATTTAAAAGATTAACAAAGAATGATTAGTCATGCCTTGTACAAATGGGCTTTGTATTAACCTGTTGACATTTTGTGATCGATAACACTTGCAATTATGCAAGGGACTCAGAAATGTTCAATCTTCATGCTTAAGTGGACAGAAAGAGATTTTTCTTTCCCACCTTAGGCAGTATTACACAATATTATACAATTGGTACCACAAAGTAAAATGTACCAAGCTATAAAAACTAAGAAAGGTGCTTGGCTTTCTCCTGTACTGCCTCTATGACAAATTTTCATTCTGGATGTCAGATGACTGTTACAGGAAAGCTTGGTCCATGGTTAATTTTAGCATATGTCACAAAAGTCTTTAAGGAAGCATCAAGTAATGTGTGGGCACTTTTACCCAAATATAGAAGTAAACATGACATTTTAATATTAAAATAAAATTGCATCATATTTCTGAGGAAAAAAAGCAAATTGTATTGAGTGCTTTGTTTGGATCTTCTTTCCCCTATATCAGATGTAGCATCACCCTTGAACCTGAAAGACAGTTAACCTGTGCATACTGGAAAACATATGCACATACTTATCCACATTCATGCTTGCCAGATACATATTTAAACATAAATAAGGTGGTCCATTCATATTAATTAGGAGTCATTCTTAGTTATGCTCCCTAATAGCATCTTTGTGAAAACCTGTATTCTATATGGGAAGAAAATACTTGATATATTTAAATTTGTACATTTGCTATAAAACAGTATATTGCTGATAAGTCCATAATACATCCTTCCATAGTTTATCCTTGATTTTTTTAAATTCCCCTACAATTTGTTTGAGAATCAGTGTTTGACATTGGCTTTATAAATCAGAAACTTTATAACAGACCCTTCCATTGCAAAATGAATTTAAAACCACTTTGGAGAGTAGGGATATAAATAAGAATTAGGGCATAGGATATTAGGATTATTTTAAAATATCCAAAATATATGAGGGGCATTTCCTAGCACAGTACCTCCCATGAAGTAGGCACTTAATAAATGTCCAATTAATTTAACTGAATTTCTATGTAATTTTTGCCTCATCCTGATTGTAGCAGAAAATGAAAAAAGGTCCTCAGCAGAACATGGAGCAGAAAAGGAGCTGATGATCCATTGTTGAAACACCAATGTTATCTTTATTCTCAGGTTCTTCATTTTGTAAGGTGTTTCTTTTTTCTAGCGTTTCTTTCCTTTCCACATTCTACATAAATCCCATGTATGGAATATTTACTTTGTCTTTAACCATGGAGCAAACTTCAAGTGTCACTCATGAGAGAGAAATGACTTATGCCCAAACTCCTGATGTGTGGCCTACTGTTTGCTACCTGCGATAGAAAGGATTCAGTAGCCCACATCTTTAATAAATGACTCAGGCAGAGTTGAAAGGTAAGCTTTTGTTTCCAACTTGTCATTTCTTGATGCTGCATTATAAATGACTCTCAGAGGCTGACATATTCTCCTTCTGCTCTACTTAATTAATTCTTAAGTAAGGCTTATTAAATGTTGTATGTCATAGCAATTAACATAATTTAATTTTCAAAGCTGTATAGAAGCTACTGTTTGAAGGTCAGGAAGATAAATTAGGAGTAAAACCATCATGAAGGTGGAGGTTCAAGTGAAATAATTCAGGAAGGCCATATTTTAAAGTAACCTCAAAATATTTATCCTTGAAAGAAAAAAAAAGCATTACTCTGAAATGTTTTAAGACCATAAAAATTCAGTTCACTTTGAAACATAGATTTGTGAGATGACAATTTCATTCCATTAACATGATTTTTGAAAGATTAACAAGTTTGTCTCTAAAGAGCTCATGAATCAGGGGTGGAGTCAAGATAGCAGAGTAAAAGCAGTGACTTGCTTGAGCTCTCCCCCAAACCCCTCCAAATACCTATTAAAAAAATGGTTGTAAACAAATTCTAGAGCAGCAGAACCCACAAGACAGAGTGAAACAAATTTCTAGTCCAAGACAACCTGGGTGTTGATGGGAAAGATCTATAGTGCTGGTCTAGGAGAGGAGTGCGATTCAGCATGGGCTCACAGGCAAAGACCAGGTCTCAGTGAACCTGGAGCAGGCCTCAGGGGACTGAATCACAGGCAGCTGTGGCAGTTTCCAGATTTCTCAACCCACAAACACCAAAGACAACTTGGAAGGTCAGTAGGAAAGGTCTGTTGGACCTGAGTGAGAGAGGAGCACAGTCCAGCCTCAGTCCTGGCCCAGCCCCAGGGCAGCGACTGCTTCCAGAGCTCTCTGCCCACAGATGGAGGGGGGATCAAGTGGCTGATCAGAGAGGGATTGCAGGGATCTCTTTGCTGGCTGAGGCAGGATTCTCTTGCTTTGCACATGCTCGGATCTGAGTCACAGTTCTGGGTGGCGGTCCTGATGTGAGGAGGAATGCAGGCATGGTGGAGCTTGTGGCAGTGGTGCAGAGAGAATCCTCCTCACAGTTCCAAGGCAGAAAAGAGTGCTGAACCCAGGCCAGGAAAGGAGTAAACACTTCACCCTTGATCATACTATCTTGGAAGAACTGAAAATTTACAGGTCCCTAGAAGTATCTCTGAAAACATCTGTACAAAACTCCCGAAGCTTAGGACAGCACATTCTCCAAACTGGAAGCAGACCCCCATCTTAACAAAGAGTTTAATAGTCAAGTAATTGGCTGGGAACATGAGAAAACAGCACAAAAAAAAAGTCAGACCATAGAATCTTACTTTGGTGATAAAGAAGATAAAAACTTACAAGCAGAAGAGGACAACAAAGTCAAAGCTCCTACATCCAAAGCCTCCAAGAAAAATATGAATCAGTCCCAGGCCATGGAAGAGCTCAAAAAGGATTTTGAGAAGTAAGAGAAGTAGAGGAAAAACTAGGAAGAGAAATGAGAGTGATGCAAGAAAATCATGAAAAACAAGTCAATAGCTTGCTAAAGGAGACCCCAAAAATACTGAAGAAAATAACACCTTAAAAAATAGACTTAGAGACAGCTAGTGGTGCTCCAGCCATGGAGTCAGGAGGACCTGAGTTCAAATCCAGCCTCAAACACTTGCTGTATGACCCTGGGCAAGTCACTTAACCCTGACTGCCTCATCCAAAAAAAAAAAATAGACTAACCCAAATGGCAAAAGAGATCCAAAAAGCCAATGAGGAGAAGAATGACTTAAAAAGTTGAATTGGCCAAATGGAAAGGGAAGTCCAAAAGCTCACTGAAGAAAATACTTCCTTAAAAATTAGAATGGAGCAAATGGAAGCTAATGACTTTATGAGAAATCAAGAAACTATAAAACAAAATCAAAAAAATGAAAAAATAGAAGACAATGTGAAATATCTCATTGGAAAAACAACTGACCTAGAAAATAGATCCGGCAGAGATAATTTAAAAATTATTGAACTACCTCAAAGCTATGATCAAAAAAAGAGCTTAGGCTTCATCTTTTGAGAAATTATCAAGGAAAACTGCCCTGATATTCTAGAACCAGAGGATAAAATAGAAATGGAAATAATCCATCAATCACTCCCTGAAAGAAATCCCCGAAGGAAAACTCCTAGGAATATTATAACAAAATTCCAGAGTTCCCAGGTCAAGCAGAAAATATTACAAACTGCCAGAAAGAAACAATTCAAGTATTGTGGAAACACAATCAGGATAACACAAGATTTAGTAGCTTCTGCATTAAGGGATTAGAGGGCTTAGAATATGACATTCCAGAGGTCAAAGGAGCTAGGATTAAAACCAAGAATCACCTACACAGCAAATCTGAGTATAAGCCTTCAGGGGAAAAAATGGATATTCAGTGAAATAGAGGACTTTCAAGCATTCTTGAGGAAAAGACCAGACCTGAATAGAAAATTTGACTTTCAAATACAAGACACCAGAGAAGCATGAAAAGGTAAACAGGAAAGAGAAATCATAAGGGACTTATTAAGTTGAACTGTTTATATTCCTACATGAAAAGATGATATTTGTAACTCATGAGACCTTTCTCAGTATTAGGGTAGTTGGAGGGAATATATATATATAGACAGAAGGCACAGGGTGAGTTGAATATGAAGGTATGATATCCGAAAAATAAAATTAAGGGGTGAGAGAGCATTGTGCTGGGAGAAGGAGAAAGGGAGAGGTATAATGGGGTAAATTATCTCACATAAAAGAGAGAAGAAAAAGTTTTTCCCATGGAGGGGAAGAGGGTAAAGGTAAGAGGGAATGAATGAATCTTATTTTCATTGGATTTGGCTTAAGGAGGGAATAACATACACACTCAATTGGGTATGGAATCTATCTTACCCTACAGGAAAATAAGGAGGAAGAGGATAAGAGAGGGAGGGATGATAGAAGGGAGGGCAGACAGGGGGAGGGGGTAATCAGAAGCAAACACTTTTGAGGAGGGACAGGGTCAAAGGAGAGAATAGAATAAATGAGGGGTGGGATAGGACGAAGGGAAATAGTTTTTCACAACATTAAGGAAGTGTTTTGCATGATTATACATGTATAACCTATATTGAGTTGCTTGTCTTCTCAATGAGGGTGGGTGGGGAGGGAGGAAGGGAGAAAATTTGGAACCCAAAGTTTTAAAAACAAATGTTAAAATTGTTTTTACATGCAACTGGGAAATAAGATATACAGGCAATGAGGTATAGAAATCTATCCTGCCCTACAGGAAAATAGAAGGGGAAGGGGTTAAGAGGGGGGGTCAATAGAAGGGAGGGCAGATCAGGGGAAGGGGTATTCAGGAAGCATGCTGTCTTGGAGTGGGGAGAGGGGAGAGATGGGGAGAA